ACTGGCTGGCAGGGAGACAGCACAGGCAGGCCTAGAGCTTCCTCAGGGCAGCTGGAGTCTCCTGGAGACCTTCACACACCCTGATACCTGGGCCCTGCCCTGTGAGGGCACTTTCACTGGTCTGCACCATGGCCCAGGCCCTGGGATTTTGCACAGCTCTGCAAGTGAATGAAAGCTTCGGCCATGCTGGGGAACCACCGCACTAGACGCAGACCTGGTTTTCAGTCCCAGCCCTGCCACTGACTGGCTTTGTGAGCTCAGGCAAGTCACTCAGCCTCCCTAGGCCTCAGTGACTTCCCTGAAAGTGAGAATTCTGTACACGGTGTTGTGATGGTGTTAAGGGTGTGGACCTGGCTCTGGCCCTGACGCAGGAACATGGAGCTGATGCAGGACAGCCTCCGCCAGCGACTGGAGTATGTGAAGGGGGTCCCCCTCATCAAGAGCTTTGCGGAGGCACTGGGGCCCCTGGAGAGCTTCCGGGCCCGGCCCGATGACCTGCTCATCAGCACCTACCCCAAGTCCGGTAGGTGAGGAGGGCCACCCACCCTCTCCCATGTGGCAGGCCCACCTTGGCCAGTCAGGTCATGCCCTCAGCCTGTTCACCTCCCTCTCCCTCCCTCTCCAGGCACCACCTGGGTGAGCCAGGTACTGGACATGATCTACCAGAATGGCGACCTGGAGAAGTGTCACCGGGCTCCCATCTTCATGCGGGTGCCCTTCCTTGAGTTCAAAGCCCCAGGGTTTCCCTCAGGTGTGTGACTGGGACCTGGGGGGAAAGGGAGTGGAGGAAGACAGGGCTGAGGCTTCAGCTCACCAGACCTTCCCTGACCCACCGCTCAGGGCTGGAGACTCTGAAAGACACACCGGCCCCACGGCTCATCAAGACGCACCTGCCCCTGGCCCTGCTCCCCCAGACTCTGTTGGATCAGAAGGTCAAGGTGAGTCCGGGCACAGTGGCTTACACCTGTCAGCCCAGTACTTTGGGAATCCAAGGCAGGAGGCTCACTTGCAACAAGGAGCTGGAAGACAGCATGGGCAATATAGGGATGCAGTCTCTTTCAATTAAGAAAAAGGAAAGCTAGGTGTGGTAGCATGTGCCTGATGTGGGAAGATCGCTAGAGCCGAGAAGTTTGAGGCTACAGGGAGCCATGATCACACCACTGCACTCCTGCCTATGTGACAGAGGGAGACACCAACTCAAAGAAAGGAAAAAAACTAAAAGAAAAGAATAAAAAGGTCCAGATGCGGGGCAAGGCAATCCAGGGAAGGAGGCTCCACACAGCTCAGCTTTGGTTTTGTTCTTCTGGAAGGTTGCCCCACATCCTTCTGTCTTGTCTCATCTTCAGCGGGGATGCCATCTGCCTCTTGCTCTGGCAAGGGTCTGCTGGCCAGAAACATGAGACTCTTCAGTGTCTGCCTCAGACAGGCAGCGTATGGGTGCTCACAGGTGAGCAGAGGTGGGGGCTGGAGGGGACCAGGCATGCCTTGCTCCAGATTGGGATGTGAAGGCATTGTTGCAGTTTATATTAGTATAGAATATGGATCCAGGGACCAGGCTGGACTTTGACATCTGAGCAGGGTTCAGATCCCAGCTTGGACCTACCTCTTCCATGAGATCTCAAGCAAGTCAGAGTCTAAGCCTTAGGTTTCTCCTTTGCCAAACCAAGAGATGAGCCGGTTTGGGGTGGGCCATGTGATGGCGCTGGGCCGGGTCCTCTGCCCCTGCAGGTGGTCTATGTTGCCCGCAACGCAAAGGACGTGGCCGTCTCTTACTACCACTTCCACCAGATGGCCAAGGTGCACCCTGACCCTGGGACCTGGGACAGCTTCCTGGAGAAGTTCATGGCCGGAGAAGGTGGG